GGAATTAATTCTTGGCACTCGGATTGCTCGAAGATCACGTGATCAAGCTCGCTATCTGCTAGCTCGCATCTCAGATTTACATTGCCGAACGTATCTAACGGAATTGACATCGAATTAATGTCGATTCAATGTGGGAAGCATCAAATCGATATCGATCAACGTCGAATCGACGTCGATTTGATATTGATTTCATTATCATTTCTGATTGGGAGAGAGCTCTAGAGTAGATATAAATAGAATGACGCTAATTAACCAGAAGTTGCCATTTGGTGTCCTACATCCAGGGTATCTATGTGCAATTCCTCGTCTTAACCTTTTCTTTCTTTAATTTGTCTTCTTCTAACAATAAGACGGAGCCAATTAACTTTAGGCACATGCATTGGCGCCACTTTCTTTATACCTAGGCTACGTTCCAAAACTTACTCTCTGAGGAAAATTTTACTCGAAATATATAGGACACGTAATACAATATATACTATAGCATATAGAGTAAAATCTTCCTCAGAGAGGAAGTTTTGCAACGTAACCTTAGGCCGGAACTATGCATTGAAGATTAAGATTAAAGATTAAAGATTGAAATGATTTCACCAATGAGGACAAAGAAGTTTTGCCTCCTTTTATTCTGATTAATAAAAAACTTAACTTTCAATCTTCAATCTCATTCTTCAATGCGTAGTTTGATTCCGGCCTATGATGCGGAACGTATGCGCAATGCGGAATTGATGGAATGCTCGTGATTAGTAGTGGCTTCGTCCATTCCGTTCCGCTAAAATTTGTTTTCCTATATCCCATGGAGAGGTATTTGCGGAATGCGCAATTAGCGCTGACCAATCACAAAAATCTTCTCGTAGATCACTTTTATTAGATCCACTGCAATAGCGTTTGTCATTGGCTTGTATTGATTGCACATCTGTAAGTTCCATTCCATGGGACGTAGGAAACTAAACTCCTACGGATCGTAATCACATATACATATATACATTCGTCAGAATTTAAAAATTTCATAATCGAGAAACAAGTACCTCAATGACGACGTTAATATATACTAAAAAATATTTAATTATTTGCATATTATTAAAGTCTTTAAATCAATGTGTGTGTGCACTTCAAAAGCAGACACTACGGCGCAAAATTGCAAAATTATATATTTTGTACGATATTGCAATGAAAGAAAACAACGACAATTTTGGGTGCGATCTATATTTAATACTGAAAGAAAATTACAACAAGGAGCAAGCGATAATCTTATTAAGGAAATGTTGGCCGAAGACATGGAAAAGTATGTGGATTATTTTAGAATGCCATCTCAAATATTTGAAGCACTGTTACCATTAGTTGGATCAACTATTACTAAACAATATTTTATTCGCGATTCTATTTCACCCGAGAGTCGGTTCCAAATTTTACACTGCGCTATTGAGCATCAGGAGAATATGAAATATCTGTTATATGCCTTCAGAGTTGGACATAATACAATTTCAAAAATAATATCCGAGACCTGCGAAGCTATTTGGAAATGTCTAAAGGATTCAGTTTTTCCCAAGGATGATAAAGAAAGTTGGAAAACTGTAGCTGACGAATTTGAACGTTTGTGAAACTTTCCAAATTGTATAGGGCCATTGATGGAAAGCATGTTCAAATTCAGGTACATACCAATAGAATTCACACATACAAATAGAATTCTAAATTTATATAATATTAAAACTTTATTAATAATAGCTAAATACTTTGTGTGTGTTAACTACAAAAATATTTTTGTTATATATTTCATGTATAAAATACAAATTATGATGAAAAAAGTATATATTTTCTTATTACAGGCTCCGCCTATTTTAATTTTTAATTAATTACAAAGGCTATCATAGTATCAATCTTCTTAGAATCAGTGACGCAAACTATTGCTTTACAATAATCGATATTGGTGCAGAAGGTCGATAAAGTGATGAAGGAGTTTTCCGTAACAGCGAAATTGGAAAACAATTCGTTTAAATTGCCAAATTCAAAATAGATCAAATATATATACATATATTATATGTATATATAGGTATATATGTACGTACATATATGGGTGATTTCTTGAAAAACCGATATGACATCTCGTCTTATAGTTTTCGATATTGTTTATATTCTGCGAAAGTGTTCTTTAGAAAATTATAACAACCCATATTTTTTTTGTTTTTCTTTAAAGCGAATCGTTTAGCTGTGGTACTAATTGCAAAATTTCGACATTTTGAAAACATCAATTTTATCGGTTTTTTTTACTTATAGTAAATATTTTGATTATATGTATATAAAATAATAACCTCTGTTACACGGCTCGATTTACGCCGAAGTTATAACATCGATATTATGAAACTGGCCAATCACATCATTTTATTCTTCAGAGGAATAGCTATGATTGGCTAGTTTTATAATATCGATGTTAAACTAAGTACTATAACTTCGGCGTAAATCGAGCTGTGTAACAGAAGTCAATGCATGCGTGCGTGTTTCTTTAATATTTTTAATATTTTTAAATAGTGATAACTCAATGAAAAAATCGTCGTATCGAGAAATGAACCACAGCTCAAATTAAAGCTTGAACGTACCTTTTGATGATTATGGTGATCAAATTTAAGTTATATTAAATGTAATATAAAATAGTGGGCGTTGAAGGCGGACATCGAAAAATAGTTAATTTTTTCCTTTTGCGCTGCTTAGGGGAATTGGCTGCATGGCACAAAGGTGTATGAGTTTTTAAGCTCATTGATTTCTAAGCAAATCCATTGTTACGTCCGGACTCCACGGTTCTTTTCTTCGACAGAAAAACCTTCGTCATCACAAAAAATTATTGACCAGTAAACCATCTGTTACAGTAGCGACGAGCCAAACAACATTTTAAACTAATAACCCATTCGGGACAAAACCGTTGGGTTAGATATTGAAACCAAGTGCCAAATAGGCGAACCTTATCCCGAGGAACGGGAAGAACAATAGATTAGGATTATAAAATGAAACAGCAGCTGAGAGCAATAAATGACATGTGGCTCGAACCTATTGGACATCCGGCAAATGGTCGATGACGAAAGTTTTCTTAGACACATACCCCTGTATCCCATTTCATAACCGATATCCCTAATCCTAACCCTAATCTTGGATTGGCCCAGCAGCACACTGTGCTCTGCTCTCGGCGTCACTAATTCGCCAATATAAAAGGCGAGGCCCTCCACGAGGAGCGGTATTCGGCAGTCAGCAATCAGAAGATAGTAGTGATCGGTTGCCAGTATTATTTGTCAAATTTTCAAACTAAACTCTGCCGGTTTACAATTAGAACCGTTCTCGTTCAACTCCATCTCCTTGGGACTGGAACAAAAGTGACCAGAGTCTCCACTTCCGAGAGGCAACCTTCCGTGTAGTGCTGGGACCACCAATTTCGGCTGCTTGATCCACCTACATCCGCAGAACAATAGTAAGTCCCATCCACACACACACACACACGCGCGCGCGTGTGTGTGTGCGTGTGCGTGTGCGTGTGTGTGTGTGTGTGTGATTAAGAAAATCAACCACTATAATTTACACTAAATTATAGTGCCGCGCCCGAACCGTCCCTTCAAAGGGTGGCTTCGAAGCCGGGCCTACCGGGAGGCGCGGAAACTCTTGGACGAAGAGTACAAGAGATACCTCGGGAAGAGGATTGTTTATCACCACTACCATCCTCGTCACCACCGGCTCCGCCGGCTAATTAACTTAAAGTAATACCTCCTCCGCCTCGAACACCTTCACCTCCTCAGCTACCTCCTTCCCCTTCCCCTCGATCTCCTTCACCCGCGTTTTCGGACGCACTTACGGAGAGAATCATTCCTGATACTCCTCCACAATCCGATTCATCCCACCCAATTTCCCCCAGAAGAAGTCCCTCCCCGACGAACTCCACGGACAGTGTGGAGTTCTTAGAGGAAATTCTTACACCTCCACCTAGATCCTACTTCCAGATCCTAGAGAGTGACACCCTTGAGTCACTTATCTCCCAATTCCCGCGGGTTACAACTGCATCCATCCCTCAGGGGGCCTACACAATCGGCCCTCATTATTTCGATCTTCAGGAAATCCGCAATGCCATCACTGGTCAAGCCTCAACCTCCAGTATCCCCGTATTCCTTCCGAATTCCACCCATGCAATCCTAGTCCCAGTCAAATTCTTCAATAATCTTTTCCCTCCCTCCTCCGTTTCCATCCACGAAATAGACTAATCAAATCCCATCCGACTCTCCCGACCTCTCGACGTATACACAATACATAAAGTGCATAGGCCGTAGTGGTACTTATGATTATGCGGTATAATAGATTGTAATGTATAGATTAACTATAGTAAATGCGCCTATTGTATATAACCACTGTTATTCGTATCTCTTGACAAGTAACAATAAATAATGTTACTAATTATCTCTCTCGTCATTTACTTTTAAAACCCGCCTAATTAAACCTCGTAATCACCAAACCTTGCCCTTTCAAAGCTCGCACGTGGTCCATTCCCGAGTTAAAGGGATTTTCCCTGACTCGAAATACGGACCGACGATCGCACCGCCCGTAGGAAACAGGCGTCATAGCGTCTTCACGAGACGTTGACCCATATTCCGAAGCGGACAAAAAAAAAGGGGTGCGTTCGACTCGGCGGTGTTTGCTTCCAGGCAAATACCTGCGAGACTAGAGTCTGACCGTCCTTGCACGCTCCATCCTTTTCTACTCCCTTTTCTCTCTCTCTAAATCCATTTTTCCGGAGTTTGGACGTAACACCATATTTGGAACATTTTTTTTACGATTTTTTTTTAAACAAAATTATACCGTTTTAGAGAAAATGCTATAAAATGGACAACTTGTTTTTGTAAACTTAGTATAACTCAGAAACAAATTATTGTAAGAAACTTTATCATAAAGGAAATTAAAGTGTAAATTTCAAATTTTAACTCTTTATTGGGAGTATAAATAAGTTTCCGCCGTTTTTGATCAAAAATTGGGCATTTATTGTGAAAGAACGGTACCTAATGTTTTATTCGAAGTATTGCTAGCCACTACTTTTTCCCATCTTTCTGGCAGCATACGGATACCGCGTCGGAAAAACGCTTCATCTTTTGAAGCTATCCACGAATTGACCCAATTTTAGGTATCTTCATATGATGTGAAGTGTTGCTCAAACAGGCCATGCGCTATCGATCGAAACAGGTAGTAATCAGAAGGAGCAATGTCTGGTGAATACGGCGGGTGGGGTAAAACTTCCCAATTGAGTGTTTCCAAGTAGGTTTTGACCGGTGCTGCAACACGTGGACGAGCATTATCATGCAGAAGAATAACTTTGTCGTGTCTGGAGTAGTAGTGGGCGCGTTTTTCCTTGAGCTCGGCTCAATCTCATCAATTAATTGTGTTCGGTAGAGAGCCCCAGTAATGGTTTCGTTCGGTTTGAGCAACTCATAATAAACGACACCTAGCTGATCCCACCAAATACACAACGTAAGCTTTTTCCCATGAATGTTCGGCTTGGCTGTCGATGTTGAAACATGGCCAGGTGGTCCCCATGATTTCTTCTTCTTTGGGTTATCGTAGTGGATCCATTTTTCGTTTATGCCTGGCAAGCAGCATTTCACATGTGAAAAATCGGCGTTCAACGTTTCTCGGCTTCAGTTCATATGGAACCCAATTTCCTTGCTTTTGAATCATTCCCAACGATTTTAAGCGATGTGAAATTGCTGGTTGAGTCACTCCTAATGTAAGTGCAAGTGCTTCTTGCTTTTGGCATGAATCTTCATCCAATAATGCTTCCAATTCCGCGTCTTCGTACACTTTCGGTCTTCCGCTACGTTCTTTGTCTTCGACGTCAAATTTATCGTTCTTTAATTTTTGAAACCACTCACGACAACTTCTCTCACTTAAGGCAGCCTCACCATATGCTTCTACAAGCAATTGATGCGCCTCAGCTGCAGATTTCTTCAAATTAAAGAAATAAACCAAAAGCTCCCGCAAATGATGCTTATTCGGCTCAAAACTCGACATTTTCGCACGAAAAAAGATATAAGATGCTGATGCAAAATCGCTAATATTTCACGGTTATGTTCTTGCCAGATGTTCAACCTTACGATATGGTGTTTTACAGCTGACAATTTTAGCTATAATATACTCGTAGCGCCATTGTTTGTCAAACGGCGGAAACTTATTTATACTCCTAATAATTTTGTGTAAGTGCATGCGTTTATATATGCATGTGTGTATCCTCTCGGCGTTACCTAGAATTGACGGCGAGGGCGTAGTAGGAATCTGATCTCGTTTGTGTGTGTATGTGTAAGTGTGCGTGCGTGCGTACTTGCGTGTCTTTAATAATGTACTCGTATATTGCTTCTGCAACGCTGTGTACGAGGAATGGCATAATTTGAGACAAGAAGAAATAAGACATTTAACACAGTATACGCTTACGAATACACGAATATATCAATGCGAGATAAGGCAACACACGTTACTAAAGACACACACAACACTAGACATCGAATTCTGATGCATTTCATAGGTTTTTTTAGAAAGCAGATTGGAAAGTAATATTAAAACAGAAATTAGTCTTATTAAAAAAGTATTCTAAAAACGCATATTTATTTGGACATATTGTGTATATTTA